GGTTTTAACAGTCTTGATGAAACATGCATACTGGTCAGATATTTTGCATATATTTTTCTTCAGTTTGGATTTAACTGATGTGTTCTCCATGGTTTTACAATGGTTATAGGTTATTTGGAGAAAGGCCATAGAGGTAAAAAGCCTTTTTCATCACATATCAAGTATTTCTACTATAAACATGTTTTTATTGCTGATAATGTTAACTAGATAGGGTAGTGTTTGTCAGGTGACTCTGCTGCCAAGTTACTCTTCCCTCTCCATCCTACCCTAAACCCTTTCATATTCTTCAGAATGAAATCACACTCTGAATCCCACACTTAAAGGATGAGATGGGAGTTACATATCATTAGATGGAATTTTTCTGTAAAAGATATTTATCTCTTCTCCTGAACTTAATTATCTAGTCAATGATTTGTTTACATCAGCATGGAATTACGGATACTGATTTTCTGCTATGGGTTATAATTCAGGACTGCTTTACTTATTTTGTTGCCCAAATTGAATTCTCAGGTATTTTATTCATTAAAAAAAAACTCTATTGCAGGATTCAAATCATGTGTGATTACAACCCTCATAATGAAATGCTTAATGAGCATTTCCTAATCTTAACATGGTATAAATTAATCAGTTAGTCAAAAAGAATTTATTAAGTGCTTCTAAATATCTAACACTTGGCCTGAAAGCATTATTCAGGAAATTTAATTGTTAGAGAACTGTAAATATTAGGTAACCAGAAATCTTTAGCATTCTTGGGAGCATAGAAGAGTGGCTATCCCTGTGTACCTCACCACATGGTACTATCCAAGTTCCTCATTGTCTCCAGTCCATGCTAACTTTAAGATCAGCTCAGAAAAAATGCCAATGAATCTCAGGGGGACTGAAGTTTCTGTTAGATCTCAATCCTCTTTCTTCTCCAATGAAGTTACAGAAATGTCTGGATGAGCTGTGGGGAAATTCAATGGGTCCAAATTTCAATCAGTCTAATTTAGAATATGTTGGTTTACTAAGAACTGCAGTCAGAAAGATACATGAGTTGATTCTTATTTAGGTACATGTGAACAACACCAACTACGAGTTTTACAAATTATAAAATCAAAAGGTGTTAATATACACTTTAATGTTAAATTTTAAAAAATTGTGACTAAGTGGGTATTGAAGAAATAACAATTACAACTCAGTTGTAGAACAACCATCATTCAGAAAATCTAGCTATATAAAGAAGAAGCTACATGGAAACTGGTAGGAGGGATGGAGATGCAGAACGGGTTAGTCTCACAACCATGTGTGGCACATAAAAGCTGCTTAAGAGTGAGGGGTCCTGACCCCAACCAGGCTTCCGAGCCCAGGGTTCCAGTCCTGAGGGGAGGCTTCCCCATGAGTTCTGGCTGTAAAAACCAGCAAGGATTGTGGCTGACTGAGATGAAGGCTTCCAGAGACCTGGACATTCCTCCTAAAAGGCCCAAGCACTGACTCATTCTCTTCAGCCACTCTCAACTCCTGCATGGGGGCAGCAGATTGAAAAGGACCAGAGGCATGGGGAAGAACCGAATTGTTTGACAACAGGAGAGAACAAGAGGGGTAGCTTTCTCCATGATAGAAGGATGGGCAGCGGATTTTGCTCCTTTGCTAAACCCTCCTGACACAGAGCTGCCAGGTGGGTGCTGCATCTAAATGTCTGTCCACCTGGCTCACAGCTATCCCCACCCTGGTGATTCCCTAAGACCCCACCTCATCCAATCTTTGGGCCCACTCAAGTGTCTCCAATAGCCCATGCTTCAGATTTTCCTAAAGAATCTCTCAAACAGGCAGCACCTGTCCTCTCTATACCCTTTGCCCTTGCTATGTGGCCCCAGGCCCGACACAAGCAGCAGCCACACTTAGTTGGCAGCTTGGCCTCTCCTGGGCCCCTCCAGACCCAGCACAAGTACTAGTCATCTGCAGATCTCTCTTTAGCTCATGCCAGGTGGCCCTCGGCTGGACACAGGTCATGCAAGACTTTGCATCTCCCAGGAGGCCCCAAAGCCTGTGAACCCAGTGGAGAGTTTCAGACCCCACAGTGTTACAATCTAACCACCTCTACAAGAGACACACAAAACGGGAAGTTTCATTGGGCACCAAAGTATCGTGGAAGTGAGTCTTATTCCATGGGGTTGACCCCTGCGCAGCAGCACCTTTGCTGCAGTTGCAGCTGGTCCTAAGTACGAATTGACACTGGAGTCAATTCCACTTGCCTCCATGAACAATGAAGGCTCAGCTACAAGAGGAGGATGTACACAGCTGCACAGGGAGGTGACCTATGGGACCCAGCATGACTGAGCCCTACAGGACAACAACTACATAAGGCCACTCTACCATATCTGGGAGATGATGCAGCTCTATCGAATACATAGAAAAAATGCAGGGAGGCAGTCAAAATGAGGAGACAAAGAAACAGGTCTTAAATGAAGGAAAAGGAAGAATCTCCATAAAAAGAACAAAATGAAATGGAGGCAAGCAAACTACCAGATACAGAATTCAAAACAATGGTCATCAGGATACTCAAGAAATTTGGCGAGGACTTCGACAGCATAAATAATGATGTGGAAACTGCAGAAAAAGAAAGAAAGAAAGATATGACAGACACACTAACTGAAATGAAGAGTAAATTACAGGGAATAAACAGTAGATGAAGCAGAGGATAAAATCAACAATTTGGAATATAGGGAAGCTGAAAACACAAAATAGGAACAGCAAAAGAAAAAGAATCCAGAAATGAGGATAGTATACGGAGCTTCGGTGACAATGTGAAGTATACTAGAATTTGTATGATGGGGGTGCCAGGAGAAGAGGGCAGGGAATTGAAAACCAATTTGAAAAAACAATGATGGAAAACTTCCTTAACCTGGTGAAGAAAATAGGCATACAAGTCTAGGAAGCATAGAAGGCCCCAGACAAGAGGAACCCAAAGAGGCCCACACCAAGACACATCATAATAAAAATGCAAAGGTTAGGGCAAAGAGAGAATATTAAAAGCATCAGGAGAAGAACAGTTACTTGCCTACAAAGGAGTTCACATAAGACTGTCTGCTGATTTCTCAACAGAAACTTTGCAGGCCATACGGGACTGGCAAGAAATATTTAAACTGATGAAAAGCAAAGACCTACGACCAAGATTACTCTACTCAGCAAAGCTATTATTTAAAAGAGAAGGAGAGATAAAGAGTTTTCTAAACAAGGAAAAGCAAAAAAAATTCATCAACACCAAACTAATATTACAAGAAATGTTAAAGGGTCTTCTGTAAGAAGAAGAATAAAAATGACTACAAATATGAGCAATAAAATGACAATAACTCCATATACATCAGCAATTACTTTAAATGAAAAAGGCTTAAATGCTCCAATGAAAAGACACCTGGTGACTGAATGGGTAACAGAACAAGACCCTTATATATGCTGCCTACGGGATCCTTCAGATTGAAAAACACACGCAGGCTGAAAGTAAGGAGATGAATAAAGGTATTTCATAAAAACAGAAACAAAACAAAACAAAAAAATCTGGGATAGTGACACTTATGACAGACAAGCATGAACTTTAAAGCAAAGGTTATACTGGGTGAAAAAGACAAAGGGATCAAGCAAACAAATACCTCATAGACACAGACAACAGCATGACGATTACCAGAGAGGATAGTGGGTAAGGGGAGGTAGAAGAGGGTATGGGGGGATAAATCATGGTGGAAGGAGACTTGACTTGGGGTGTTGGACACACCATACAATACACAGATGATGTCTTTTAGATTGTACACCTGAAACCTATGTAAGTTTATTAACTGATGTCACCCAAGGAAATTTAATTTAAAAATAAAAACCAAACCAAACCAAAAACAAAGACTAAAGAAAGAGACAAAGAAGGATCCAGCAACTCCACTTCTGGACATTTACTGAAAGAAACCCAAAACACTAAATGAAATGACACATGCATGCCTGTGTTTCTTGTAGCATTATTTACAATAAATAGCCAAGGTGTGGAAGCAACCTCAATGTCCATCGATAGATGAATGGAGATAGAAGTGGAGCATATATAGAATAGAATACAATTTAGTAATAAAAAGCATTGAAATCTTGCTATCTGCAACATCCTGGATGGACTTAGAAAGTGTGATGCTAAGGGAAACAAGTGAGACAGAAAGACAAATGCCAGATGATTTCACTTATAGGTGGAATCTAAAAACATAAACAAGCAGAACTGAAACAGATGCACAGCGACAAAGAACATTTTGATGGTGGACAGATGGAAGAGAGGTTGAGGGGGGGAGTGAAAAGAGTGAAGGGATTAAGAAGTACATTTAGTAGTGACAGAATAGTCATGGGGATGTGAAGTACAGCATAGGGAATATAGTTAATAAAATCGTAAGAACTATAAATGGTGTCAGATGGGTTCTAAATTTATCGGGGTGAGCACTTCGTAAGATATATAAATGTTCAATCACACAGTTATATATCCGAAACTAATATAATATTGTATGTCATCTTTAATTAAAAAAAGAAAGGAAGAACAATTGTTGCCTTTAGTGATTGAGATTCTGCTTATCAGCTCTACCCTACGAAGACTTAATATTTTTAAGACTCTCCAGTATTTGTATGACACTTAACTATGTTATGACTCTCTTTTAAAAAATAATATGTTTACTTACTCCAGAAGCTTTTATTTTGAAAAATTATACTATTGAACAGGGAGTTCAAAAATCCCTACTTTTTTAATAAAGAGTAAGAAAAACCCCCATATTTAATTCTCCTTAGATTAATTGACCTTGTAGGTTAGGAATTACAGCTGTAGTAATCTACTGAAGAACCACAGTGAATTTTGTATGATCTTGCATGTCCTCTGATTGAGAGAAGAAAGCCTTGGCTGTTAAAAATAAATATGATGTAGGAAAAAATTACCAATAGACTGCAGAGAAATAGGGGACATAAGTGAAAACAACAGTTTATATAAAAATAATTGTTCTTCCATCCCTTGTTTTTGTTTTGTTTTATTGGCTAATACTGTATTTTCAAACCTTTAGTTCACAGAATGTAAATTCATTACATTTTATATATGACATTCAAGTGTAAATAACACTTATCAGAAGTATTTTTAGACATATGATCAATTCAGATATAGCCCAAATTTACATTAGAATAAGGGAAACCCTAAATTAAGCCATTTTGCAGAAAATGAAAAGAATCAGGAAGAAAATAATAGGTGTAATTATGCCTCTGAATTTACTTATTTATTTTTTAGTTATTTCTCCCATGATTTTCAAAGTTTATGCATATACTAAAATTACTACTAAACAGGAAAAAAGCTAGCATTAAAACATTGGAATGTTCGTTTAGCTTTAATGAGCTCCTAAGTTAAACTACATGGGTGTTCTACATCATTCCCAGCGATTACAGCTTTGTGTAATATTTGCAAAAGAAGAACAACAAGGAGAAGAAGAAAAAGAACAAAATAAAAAGGTAATATCATGAAAATTCATTCGTGTCCTTATATCGAGATCTGAATAATCACATGAACCTGACTATAACCTTTCACATGACTCCTTCTAATGTAATACAAAAAAAAAGTTGAGAAGTGGTGAGAAGAAAGGCTTAATCTCTAATACCAGGTCGGGCACAAGTCAACACCTGTTTGTGTGTGGTTGGTAGGGTAATAATATGGGTGTAATGATTTCTAGTTTTCATTTGAGTATTTTACCTAAAATTTCACATGGTGTGCTTGAGTGTGACAACGCTATGTTACCGAAATACATGCTTATGATCTTGTAATAAAAATATTTTGTAATAAAACAAGGGTGGTATTTGTGCCAGACCGTGCATGTTAGGAACACCTTTCTTAGACCTCAGTTCGTAATTTCAGTGTAGACCCCTTCATTTGCTGCTCATAGTGCATATCAAATTTTTCATTCAGGGCAACTGTGAAGTGATTTTTCCAGTCTCCTGTAATCCCTGTAACAAAAGGAAAAGACCGATAAGTATTGTGTCTTCAAGCCAGAATCACAAAGTTTTCTAATATTCATCACTTTCATGAACACCTCATCAAATTTTGCTCCTGTAACCCTCAATTATAGTCATAAAATGTATTCCATAAATAATATACATATTTGAGCCTGCAAAGAAGAATTTGTTGTGACTGTCACAACAACAACACACAGCAAATTTCTTTCTCTGGCTCTTCCCTCTAACGCTACTTCATTGAGGTTTTTTTCCCCTCCAATTTCCTCTCTAATGTCGGGGCTTCCTCCTAAGATGTGGTCCACATTTTACCCATGTCCATCTTCATGCCAATAACACCCACATGCAGATTTACACTTCCATATCCATCCGTCTACATAATAGTGCCACCTGAATTCCATACAAGTATCCTAAATTCAACTAGTTCAAAATTTAATTCATTTTCTTCCTCACCAAATAGTGTTTTCTTTTCCATAATCTGATTAGTGGAAATACCAGGTAGCCAAGGCATAAACTTGGACGTTGTCCCTTCAATCCTACATCTAACTTTTTATTCACACTCAGGTTTTCTTCATACTCATTGCCTTTTCTCTAATTCTACTGCCACTGAGAAGTTCCTCAGCATTTCTCACCTGGCTTATTACAATAGTCTAGCAGGCCCTTTTCTTTGGCTTTCTGTCACATCCAACCCTGTCCTGGCAGAAGGAAGTCACCCTGTATTTTAAACCAGTCAATAGTTCACTTTCCCAGTTTAGTCAAGAAGTTTACCTCGAGAAGCTCTACTTTCCCAGTGAAATAACCCCAAAAGCAAAGAAAGAGAAAATAGGGTTGGCCAAAAAGTTCATTTGTTCCTCTCAGTAAGATGGCTCTAGTAGTGCTTAGTTGTCCTTAACTTTATTTGAAATACTTTTGTTAGACTGTATTGTGACAGCTGTCATACTGGAGTGCATTTAAAAAAACAACAACATTGGTGACTTTCTGTGTAGCCATTTTAATTTGAAGATGGAAGAAGATATATAACATTTCCAGCATATTATGCTTTATTATTTCAAGAAGGTAAAAACACAACTGAAACATAAAAAAAGAAGAAGAAGATTTGTGCAGTGTATGGAGAAGGTGCTGTGACTCATCGAACCTGTCCAAAGTGGTTTGCAAAGTTTCACGTTGCAGATTTCTCCCATTAAGATGCCCCACAGCCTGGTAGACTGGTTGAAGTTGATGACAATCAAATCCAGACATTAACTGAGAACAATCAATGTTCTACCATGTTGGACATAGCCAATGTGCTCAAAATATCCAACTCAATAAAGGTACTGATGAAAGTGAAAAAATCTGTCTCTTCTTTTATGGAAAAAATTAAATGGTCTTTTCGGCCAACCCAGTATAAATTCTGGTTAGGTCTGAGGGTATAGCAGTAAGCAGCCCTTTATAATAATGATAATTAAATTCCAGAGTTTATCTTAAAAATACATATGGACACTTTGGGAAGGAAGACAGATAATCAGAGAAAGGGATCATTAAAATATAATCTGCATGTTAACTCTCTTTTTCAGGGGCTCCCTGTTTTCACCCAGTGGCAGATTTCTTATTCCTACTACTTAAAAAATTCCCTGCCTTTCTCACTGAGAATTTAGAGCACATGATTTTCTCTAGTCCACTTATGGGAAAAGAAAACATTTTTTCACATATCAAAAAGAGCAGATGTCCCCGTATTCTGTATATCCTACAAGTCTTTGAGTTTACAAACTGAGTACATCTCATCAGACCATGCCTCTTCTCAACAGAAAGTCCCTTCACTTTTGATATTTGATATTCTTGCTAAGCAGAGCCATATTTATACATATTTTTAAGGGCTTTGAAACAGTATTTCTTAAAACAGCTTTATTGAGGTTTAATTGATATATAAAGAACTGTACATATTTATGTACATACAATTTGATGAGTTTGGACATTTGCCACTTAGTCTCCAAAGAGGTCTACCATTTGGTCAAGGGAAAGCTTACTAATTGTTCTAAGCTTGTTCCTTCATCTCAAAATGAGATAATAATAGAAGCTCTCTCCTGATTCTCTGATAAAACTTTAAAGATAGTATTTTAAACTTATATTTGTTTATTAACGTACATAGCACAGCACCAAGGCACATAGGCTTAGTAAATGGTAGCGAGCAGAGTGTGGAATAAGTGCTGGGGCTGAGGCTGCAGTGGATGCCAGTCATTCTTAATATAATATGCTACATGCACTAAATAATCACCAAGTAGTAACAATTTATTAGTAGTAGTATTCCTAATGTTTTATGTCTCTGAGGAAATAGCAACACAATGAAGAGATCCTTCAAATATGAAACGGATGCTGAAGAAAAGAAGCTGAGTCCCCAGGCCTAGATAAGCCTCAATAGATGTGTGTGTGTAACTATTTCAGCTGGTAATTTCTTACAGCAATAGAGGCAAATCACGTGACTATCTTACCCTTTCTCATGAAGGGAGTTATTTTATGATTCATGATGTAATCTGGCAGTGTTGTGTAATTGGTAGATGGATTGTTTTTCATCTCTTGGAATGAAGTATGCTGTACAATCTTGTCCACAAGCTCCCTTGAGGGCTTCCTTCCTAGAAATTGTATCAATTTTAGCACCTCTCTTTCAATATCCTAGAAAGAAAAAAATATTTTGAAGATTCAAATACTAAAATTGAATACATTATCACTTGGATTAAAAGAAGAGAGAGGGGGGAAAAAAAACCCTCTTGGTCCCCCACCCCACCCCACCCCTACACATTTTGGAATTGGGCCTCTAATGAGGAAAAATACTTCCTAGAAAAGTGGTATCTTTTAAGCTTTTCTAAACACAATTTTTCTCAGCCATAAAATGAGCATAAAAGATTTTTCACACCATATACTTTCGTACATACCATGTACAAATTACCTCTTTATGATACCATATATAAAAATAAATTCAGGTAAGACCTGAAACCATAAAACCTCAAGGAGAAAACATAGGCAGTAAACTCTCTGACATTGGTCTTAGCAACATATTTTATACACACACACACATACATACACACATATACATATAACATGCCAGACAAAGGCAATAAAAGCAACAAATAAACAAATGGGACCTCACCAAACTAAAAAGCTTCTGCACAATGCAAGAGATCATCAAAAAAAAAAGAGAAAAGATAACTATTGAATGGGAGAAAATATTTGTAAATGATATATCCAATAAAGGGTTAATATCTATAATATATAAGGGACTCATACAAATCAATATCAAAAATGATCTGATTAAAAAATAAGCAGAGGGCATGAATAGGTATTTTCCCCAAGAAGACATACAGATGGCCAAGAGACATAAAAAGATGCTAAACATCATTAATAATTAGAAAAATACAAATCAAAACCACAATGAGATATCATCTCACAACTATCAGAATGGTTATTATGAAAACAGATAAAAGTATAAAGAAGATGTAATATATACCCCCACACACATACATGAAGTTGATGTGATATGTGATATATATACACATGAAGATGTTAGAGAGATATATATAAATATGTTTGAAAATGTGGTATATGTAAAGATGAGATATATGTATAAACATATATATGGCATGTCTAGAAGGTATGCAGCCATGTAATATGAAAAATAGAGACATTTATTGACGAAGATGCAAGATACAAAAGACATGGTACATAGGACAATGACACCTCCATCCCCTTCAACCAGGCACCTTGGGACCACACACAGTTCTCCTAATCACCATCAGCTGCCCCATACTATTTTCCTGTATCTCATCAATAGTCTGAAATCCCTTTCCTTTCAAAGGTGATTTTAGTTTTGGGCAAAGCCAGATGCTGCAGGATGCCAAATCTGGACTATAAGGGGGCTGAGTTACCTGGGTGATTTGATATCTCGCCAAAATTCTTTGCATGAGATGTGATGCATGAGCTGTTGTCACGAGGAAGCTGCCAATCACCTGTTGCCCTTGGCTGCAGCCTCTAAATCATTCAAGTAGCTTCCATGGAGGAATGTTCAAGCTTAATACAAAATTTGACGCAGAGTTGTTGCTCTACTCACTCGGTCATTTTATTTTTTTTTTTTATTTTTTTTTTCTTCTTTTAAATTAAATTTATTGGAGTGACATTAGTTAATAAAATTATATAGGTTTCAAGTGTACAATTCTAGATACATCATCCATGTATTTCATTGTGTGTCAATCATCCAAAGTCAAATCTTTCATCACCATATATTTGACACCCTTTATCCTTCTTTTTTTTTTAAATTAATTTATTTACTTTTTAAATACATTTGTCTCTGCCTTCCCCCCCCTCTTTCCCTTGCCCCCTCCCACCTTCCCTCCCTCAGCTCTTCCCCTTTGGTTTTGTCCATGAGTCCTTGCTATATGTTCCTTGACTTTCCCCTTCCCTTCCCTTTCCCTGCCCCCCCTTCCCTCTTGTCTCTGTTGATTTCTTTTCCTTTCAGTGTTGCTGGTCATATTTGCCTTGCTTCTTTGCATTGTTGGTTAGGTTCCGCTTATAGGTGAGATCATATGGTATTTGTCTTTCGCCCCCTGGCTTATTTCGCTTAGCATGATGCTCTCCAGTTCCATCCATGCTGTTGCGAAGTTTAGTACTTCTTTTTTCTTTCTGCTGCGTAGTATTCCATTGTGTATATGTACCATAATTTTTTGATCCAATCATCTACTGATGGGCATTTAGGTTGCTTCCAACACTTGGCTATTGTAAATTGTGCTGCTATGAACATTGGGGTGCATAGGTTCTTTTGTATTGGCGTTTTGGTGTTCTCAGGGTATAGTCCCAGCAGGGGAATCGCTGGATCAAAAGGCAGTTCCATTTTCAGCTTTCTGAGGAAATTCCACACTGCTTTCCATAGTGGCTGCACCAGTCTGCATTCCCACCAACAGTGGACTAGAGTTCCCTTTTCTCCACAGCCTCGCCAGCACCTGTTGTTTGTGGATCTGTTTATGATGGCCATTCTGACCGGTGTGAGGTGGTACCTCATGGTGGTTTTGATCTGCATTTCTCTAATGGCTAGTGATGCAGAGCATCCTTTCAAATGCCTCCGGGCCCTCTGTATCTCCTCCTTAGAAAAGCGTCTGCCCAGGTCCTTTGCCCATTTTTTGATTGGATCGTTTGTCTTCTTGGAGTCAAGTCGAGTGAGTTCTTTGTATATCTTGGAGATCAAACCTCTATCTGATGTATCATTAGCAAATATATTTTCCCAAATGGTTGGCTCCCTTTTCATTTTGCTGATGTTTTCTTTAGCCGTGCAGAAGCTTCTTATTTTGATGAGGTCCCACTTGTTTATTCTTTCCTTTATGTCCCTTGCTTTAGGAGACATATCAGTGAAAAAATTGCTGCGTGGGATATCTGAGAGTTTCCTGCCAATGTTCTCCTCTAGGACTTTGATGGTGTTGCGACTTATATTTAAGTCTTTTATCCATCTTGAGTTTATTTTTGTGTATGGTGTCAGCTGATGATCCAATTTCAATTTTTTGCATGTAGCCATCCAGCTCTCCCAACACCATTTGTTGAAGAGGCTGTTATTGCTCCATTTTATGCTTCTGCCCCCTTTGTCAAATATTAGATGTCCATAGAGACCTGGGCTTATTTCTGGGCTTTCTATTCTGTTCCACTGGTCTATGGGTCTGTTCTTGTGCCAGTACCAGATTGTTTTGAGTATAGTGGCTTTGTAGTAGAGTTTGATGTCCGGTATTGTGATCCCTCCTACTTTGTGTTTCTTTCTCAAAATTGCTGCAGCTATTCGAGGTCGTTTATGGTTCCATATAAATTTTTGAAATGTCTGTTCTATTTCTGTGAAATACGTCATTGGTATCTTAATAGGGATTGCGTTGAATCTATAGATTGCTTTTGGTAGTATGGACATTTTAAGGATATTAATTCTTCCAATCCATGTGCACGGTATATGCTTCCATTTATTTGTGTCTTCCTTAATTTCTTTTTTCAATGTTGTATAGTTTTCTGCGTACAGGTCTTTTGTGTCTTTGGTTAAATTTATCCCTAGGTACTTTATCTTTTTTCGTGCTATATCGAATGGTATATTTTTCCTGATTTCTTCTTCTTCTATTGCATTGCTGGTGTACAAAAACGCCTTTGATTTCTGAATGTTGACTTTGTATCCTGCTGTTTTGCCAAATTCACTTATTAGGTTGAGGAGTTTTTTGGTAGAGTCTACAGGGTTCTCTATGTACACTATCATGTCATCTGCAAACAATGATAGTTTTACTTCCTCCTTTCCTATTTGGATGCCTTTTATCTCTTTCTCTTGTCTGACCGCTGTGGCTAGGACTTCCAATACGATGTTGAAAAGAAGCGGTGAGAGCGGACATCCTTGTCGTGTTCCCGATCTTAGTGGGAAAGCTTTCAGTTTTTGCCCGTTGAGTATGATATTGGCTATAGGTTTTTCATATATGGCCTTTATTACGTTGAGGAATGCCCCATTGATTCCCATTTTGCTGAGTGTTTTGATCATAAATGGGTGCTGTACCTTGTCAAATGCTTTTTCTGCATCTATCGAGATGATCATGTGGTTTTTGTCTTTTCTTTGATTTATGTGGTGTATCACGTTTACTGATTTGCGTATATTGAACCATCCCTGCATCCCTGGGATGAATCCCACTTGATCGTGATGGATAATCTTTTGAATGTATTGCTGGATGCGGTTTGCCAATATTTTGTTGAGGATTTTAGCATCTATGTTCATCAGCGAAATTGGCCTGTAGTTGTCTTTCTTTGTAGGGTCTTTATCTGGTTTTGGGATCAGGGTGATGCTGGCCTCATAGAAGGAGTCTGGCAGTCTTCCCTCCTCTTGGATTTTTTGGAATAGTCTGAGAAGGACAGGGGTTAGCTCTTCCTTAAATGTTTTGTAAAATTCTCCTGGGAAACCGTCTGGTCCTGGACTTTTGTGTGCTGGGAGTTTCTTGATGACTGCTTCAATTTCCCCAACTGTTATCGGTCTGTTCAAGCTTTCTGTTTCTTCCTCCTTCAGTGTTGGAAGATTATACTTTTCTAAAAATTTGTCCATTTCATCCAGATTTTCAAATTTCTTGGCATATAATTGTTCATAATAGTTTCTGATGATCATTTGTATTTCTGTGGTATCAGTTGTTATTTCTCCTCTTTCATTTCTGATATTATTAATTTGGGTCCTCTCCCTTTTTTTCTTGATGAGTCTGCTCAAAGGTTTGTCCACTTTATGAATCTTTACAAAGAACCAGCTTCTGGATTGGTTGATCCTCTGAATTGTTCTTTTTGTCTCTATGTCATTCAGTTCTGCTCTAATCTTGACTATTTCCTTCCTTCTACTTGCTCTGGGATTTATTTGTTGTTGTTTCTCCAGTTCTTCAAGTTGTAGTGTTAGGTCTTTTATTTGAAATGTTTCTATCTTTTTAAGGTAAGCCTGTATTGCTATGAACTTCTCTCTCAGGACCGCCTTTGCTGTGTCCCATAGGTTTTGGACAGTTGTCTGTTCATTTTCATTTGTTTCCAGAAATTTTTTGATTTCTTCTCTTATCTCATTATTGACCCATTCATTGTTTAAAAGTGTACTGTTCAGTCTCCATGAGTTTCCAAGTTTTTGAAGTTTCTCTTTGAGTTTGATTTCGAGTTTCAAGGCCTTGTGGTCTGAGAAAAAGTTTGGTATTATTTCAATTTTCCTGAATTTACTGAGGCTTGCTTTGTGTCCTATCATGTGGTCTATCTTTGAAAAACTGCCGTGAGCATTTGAAAAGAATGTGTATTTTTCTTCTTTGGGATGTAAGATTCTATATATGTCAGTTAAGTCTCTTTGATTCAGTGTTTCATTCAGCGCCACGATATGTTTATTAATGTTTTGTTTGGAAGATCTGTCCATTTTGGACAGTGGGGTGTTGAAATCCCCTACTATCAGTGTGTTGCTATCTATATCTTTTTTGAAGTCATCCAACAATTTCCTTATAAACTTGGGGGCTCCTATATTGGGAGCATATAAGTTTACAATGTTGATGTCTTCTTGATAGATTCTTCCTTTAAGTATGATAAAGTGCCCCTCTGGGTCTCTCTTTATGGCCTTTGCTTTGAAATCGACTTTGTCTGATACAAGTATGGCAACGCCAGCCTTTTTCTCATGTCCATTTGCTTGGAATATTATTTTCCATCCCTTTACTTTCAATCTGTGTAGGTCTTTTGCTCTGAGGTGGGTCTCTTGTAGGCAGCATATGTGTGGGTCATGTTTTCTTATCCATTCAGCTACCCTGTGTCTTTTGATTGGGGCATTTAGTCCATTCACATTGAGAGATATTACTGATAGAAACTTACTCATCTTTTCTCTTTGTACTTGTGTTCCTCTCTGTCTCATTCTTTTCCTTCATCTGCTTAAACCAGTCCCCTAAGCATATCTTGGAGTGCTGGTTTGGTAGAGATGTATTCTTTTAGCTTTCTTTTGTCTGGGAAACTGCGTATTTCTCCTTCTATTTTAATGGAGAGCCTAGCTGGGTAGAGCAGCCTTGGCTGTAGGCCCTTGCTTTTCATGGCTTGGAATATTTGTTGCCATTCCCTTCTGGCTTGGAGTGTTTCTGTTGAGAAGTCAGCTCCTAGGCGTATCGGGGCCCCCTTGTATGTTACTTTCTCCTTCTCCCTTGCTGCCTTCAGGATTCTCTCTTTGTCTTTGACATTTGCCATTTTAATGATGATGTGTCTTGGAGTGGACCTCCTTGGGTCCTTCTTGAGTGGGGTCCTCTGTGCCTCCTGGATCCATGAGAGCCTTTCTCTCCTCAAATTAGGGAAATTTTCCATCATTACTTTTTCGAGGAGGTTCTCTATTCCTTGCTCCTCATCTTCTCCTTCTGGTATCCCTATTATACGGATATTATTGCGTTTCAGGTTGTCCTGCATTTCCCTAAATGCTTCTTCATTCTTTTTGAGCCGTTTTTCCATTTCTTGCTCTTTCTGGGAGCTTTTTTCTACCTTATCCTCCATCTCACTGATTCGATCCTCAGCTTCATCCAGCCTGCTTTGGATTCCTTCTACTGTGTTCTTCAATTCAGAAATGGTATTCTTCATATCCTCTTGTGTCTTCTTGATAGTTTCTATGTCCTTTTCCAGGCTGATATAGTTTGCTGTAAGATCCTGATAGTTTCTCTGCAGTTTCTCATAGTTCTCTTTGAGCTGGCTGAGCTCATTGAGCTTCCTTAGAACCATTGTTTTAAATTCCATATCTGATAGTTCCCTTGCCTCTATTTCATTGAGCTCTCTCTGTGGGGAGTCCCCTTTTCCACTCATTTGGGGAGAACTTCTTTTTCTTCCCATTTTTGTGAGAGTCTGTTAAGTATTTTTGTCCTTTACTTTTCTTTCTGGGCTTGCCTCTGATGATGTCAGTTGTTGACCCTATAGGGCCTTGGGTTGTTTGTTTGAGCCTTCCAGGAGTCTAATGCCTGTGTCTGACTCCTGCTTGGAGCAGCTCTGTGACCCCTTTGGTCAGGGCTGGGCTATTTTTTGGGATCTCTCTGCGCTCTCACGAGAGCTCCTTGAGCGCATTCCCAGCGCGGCAGGGTCCCCCACCTGCCTGGGCTCGCATGTGTTTGCCCCAGAGCAGGGGGCTTATTCGCGACCTCCCGTGCTCATCTGAACTCCCTGGCACGCGAGCTCCGCGGCACTGGTCAGTTTAGAGTCTTCTATTGTGTGTTTTCCCCACTTTTGGCTCTTTGGGTGCGTTGCTTGCCCTCGCCAAATGGGGACTACGGAAATGGGAGGAAATCAGCTCTCCGGTTAATCCTGTTTCTGGTCTCTCCTCCAGGGACTCTGGGCAGCTCTACTTATTTTGTGGGCTGCTCCGCAATCGCGGCGGGTAGGTCAATTTGTGCCTGCCCTTGCCCCTCTGTGCAATCCCTCACAGGCCGTATGGGTGCCAGTCTGTGTGAGGCCTTGCCGGCAGGTGCAAGCGTTCGCCAGCCCGCGTGGGTCACACACAGGCTCGCCAACCCTCGCCAGTCACTCGGCGCAAGTGTGCGCGCCTGCTCTGGGTGTTTTGGGGGTGTCTATGTTTGCTTTTCGGCTTTTGGCTCTTTGGGGGTGTGGCCTCTTCCCGCGCAATGGAGACTTCGGCAAGGAGAAGGAGTCACCCGGTCCTCCTCCCTCCCCCTAGCCCCCATGGGACTCCCGGTTCCTCCTCCCGTTCTTTCCCCAACGCCACTGTCTCCAGTCTCTCCTCAAGGCTCTCCCAGCCAGTCTGCACTCAGCCCCGCAGGTCACACGCGCACAAGCTGTGTGCGGAGCGCACAAAAGGCAGGTTAATTGATTCCCTTATGCCTGAGCGAGATGGTAGCTGCAGAGTGGGAAGTGCGTTATCACCCGGGCTCCACCGGCCGCAGTGTCAGTTCTCTTCACAAAGTTTTCCTCACCAGTCTTTTCCCAGGCACCAGCCCACCCTGCTGCCGCCTGTACCCAGCGATCAAGGAGGGTGGCTGCCGCTGCAACTTTTGCGTTTGCCCTTTAAATGTCTTTTTGCATCCCCAGCCACCTGTCTCTGGCAGAGAGTTGCCCCTAAGCTTTTTGGGGTTGTGTTTTGTCTGTATTTTCTCGGCTTTAGCGGCTGTAGTTTAGGGGTTCCTGTTTATGATTCAGACCCCGTTCTTCCTGGGGGGACGCTAACTGGCCGTTTCAATGTCCCTCTGGTGCCAGTGCCCGTGCGCACCCAGCCCACCCTCTCGAGCCTCCACCGCAATTCTCACCCGTTGGGATGTGTGAGAGTCGAATCCGCTGTCCGTGACACCAAGGCTCCTCTCCCACTATCGCTCCACGGCTTTCCAGGTGATTACTCCATTATTTAGTTGCAACTCCAGCTTGGTTTTGGGAGGAGGCCAGCGTGACTCCCTTTCACTCCTCCGCCATCTTTTTTTCCTATCTCACTCGGTCATTTTAAACGCAAAGGCCAGGCAGTGCACATGCTCACTCAATGGTGTCTACCATCTCCACTGACTAGTACAGTGAAGTCATCATTGTTCATGAATGCACATTCCAGTCCACTCTCCTTGGCTGCCAGGTTACACAGATATCGTGCAAACCATTCTCATTATATTACAAATGACTGGATTTTCTTTGGAGAGACTTCATATATAATATACAGCAGCCATAGTTTTTCAAGAGTATATACCTACTAGTGGAATTTCTGGGTCTTCATCTATGTTCCTGTTTTGCCCTTCGTAGATAGTGACAAATTGTTTCCATAGCGTTTGCATCTTTTCACACTACTATCAGCAGTGTGTTACTTCTCACTGATCCAAATCCTAACACTTGTTATTGTCAACCTTTTGCACTGTGGTCGGTAGGGTGCATATGGAATAACATCTCATAGTGGTTTTTATATGGTATTATCCTGATGACTAATGAAAGTAGAAAAAAGCTAAATTATAGGGAAATGCTGAGGCCATCAAACTTTTGCATATTGCTATTCTGGAACTCTCTCCTGCTGAAAGTTGAAATTGATACACGTGGAGGTTTACCATGCTATCTTACATATCCATTACTTTAAAAAAAATAAAGTATTCTATTTGTCTCAATGTGGTAAATTTTATAGAATTAATTCAGCTCCATCTTCTACATTACTAACCCATGATTGAGGCATGTCTGATTTTTTTATTTAAATCATCTCTTCATGATTAATTTTAATTTATTGTTTTTGAAATTCTTTTCTGGCCCTGGGTGGGTAGTACAGTTGCGGTAGTGTCACCTCCATATGCCAAGTTTGACGGTTCAATCTTACTCATGGCACGTACAAGAGTCAACCAATAAATGCATCCATGAGTGAAACAATAAATCGATGTTTCTCCCTTTTCCCCCACCCACACTCTCAAAAATAATAGAACATATTTAAGATAAAAGAAAAGGAATTCCATGTTGCTATTTTTTCCAATCTTACTTGTTAATTTTAGTAGCCTCTTGCTTCTCTGTAAAATTTATAAATTTCTTCTTTTATTTCTTTAAAAACCTTAAGCGTAGTTATTTTAAAGCCCTTATCTGATAATTCCAGCATCTATAGATTTGGAGACCAGTTGCCTCTTCTTGACTGTTGTGATTTCTTGCGCGTATGTATCTGTGTACGGTGGTGTTGTTTTGTTTCAGAAACTCAAGCTCTTTCAAGTTTTATTTTTGGAAATATTCTGAGACTTGGGTTTAAATATATTTGTTCACAGATTTTTATTCACTAGCTTTAAATCTGTGCTGAAGTTTCTGGATAATTGCAACTTTTGGAGGTGGTTTCATCATTTATGTAAAAGCAGATTTTTGTATCTACGGTGTTGCTAAATGCTAACATTTTCGAAATTACCAAGTTCCCCACGTTTTCAGTTTCTTACCTCCTTCAGGTCTTCGTAGAAAAGAAATAGCACATGTGGATTCTTTCTCATTTCCCACCAAGATTTTGCATGTTCATACCAGGGACCATAAGGAACTAAAATTAGAGATAAAACATAAGAGCGTAGTATCAGCTTTATGTAGCTTGAAAATGAGTGTTCAAACAACAGTAGCAACAAATTAATATAAATAAATGATCACAGAATGAAAACTAGAGATCAGCCGCAGATCTTAGGCAAATTTCTCTGCAGCAATGAGACAAAGCCTGTTGAGTGATTCACATACAGACACATACTCTGTTTTCATCATTATGACATGGTTTACAGCACAAAGAAAAAGTGTGTATGTGTGTAAAATCGGGTTGTTGGTGAGTGACTAGAATTATTAATGTTCTTATAATAAGAATTCAGCCCAGGTCTCAAACTTTCCATTTACAAACTGGCCTTGGCAACTGAAGCTAGTAACTATGTAATTATTTATTATACCACTTGCAGTTCAGATTATGAGAGCTGTCCTTGTAAGGGCTGCAGGGTCATTCTCACTCTAAGAGAATTAGCAGACTGTGGAGATGATGTGCTATAACCAAACTCTGTCTCTTCCCTTCTCTTCCTTTATCTCCTCCGCCACATATCCAAGTGTTCACCCAATAAAAGCTGACAGGAGGATATCATAATCTGTGAGTCCAAGTATTCTGTTTTGCTTTAAATCATTGCATATTTCTTGTTCTTCGACTCTACTGGCAATTTTTCTTTACAGAAGAAATTATATGATAAGATGTATAATGATTTATTCATCTGTTTTGTGGAGGTAAAACTTTATCTTTCTCTGCCTTACAGTGTGGGTTTTCATGATCTTGAAGTATATATTTTATTCATTATGCATTAGCACAAAGTTTCTCAAAATAGAACAGCAAACATAAAATGCATATATCCCACTTTTATTGAGTCAATGCCAGCTTCTATGGAAATAAAAATGGCATTGTTCTCATTTTTTTTACAATTACTATTGCAGGATCAGAACGGCTGTCAGTTAATATTAGAATGTCCCGAACCCTTTCTTCCTCAAATCTACATACTCAGTTGCTTTAATCTAGAGTTCAATAAAAGGGCAAACTTTTCCAGAATTTCTGTTCAAGTAACTCTAGTACTGTTCTGAAAAATCTAACCGAATCATCCAGACTACACACTGGGTGCAATGAGTAAAAAAATTGTAGATCTTCAGACTTCTTTGTAAATTCTACTCTCATGTCCCACCTAAAATTTTCCTTAGAAACAAATGGGCAGTCTCTTCTATTCCCTTCTCCCTCTAGTTCAATGGAGTTGTAATAACATACTGCAGAAGAGCTTTCTAACTAAAAAAAGACAAGAGCAGAAATGAGACACTGAGTCTCAATCTGAGAGAGAAAAATGTTACCTCCAAAACCTACAAGTTATTTTTAGGTACTGAACTGATGGGTCTATATCCTACTATTTGCTATCCACATCTTAAAACCCTTTGCTTGCTCTAAAGTTCAAGGGCATCTACAGCTTCTGCGTCTTTTTTCCTCCATTTTTTAAATTAAGGATCAGTGATGATTACAGACCAGGAAGGAGAACCAAAATTTTTGCTCAGGCATGTCATTTATCTTGTATCATGTACCTTGAAAGAATTCAAAGAAAGGAAGCAGTTTTTACCTTGTCCCTCCATGAATTTCTCCACAAACTCTGTAAACGTTCCAGGATCTGGATGACCAGCTGCCATTTGAAAGAAATAATAAAAAGAAACAGCCACATCCTTGGCATTCCGGCATACATAGATCATCTAAGAAGGTAAAATTAAATGTTAAATCACCTCATTGTTTTCAAATATAGTCTCATCAAGATTTTAAAAGAAAGCATTTGTCTTTTCAACTACAAACATAACACATACTCATTTTAGAAAGTATATCGAATTATAAAAGAGGAAAGCCATTCAGTAGCCTGAAGTGACAGCATCTTTCGCAGTGCCATTCAATGCTTGTTCTAACTTTTCACTTTTGTGCTATTTTCCATATGATATCCCATTTGAATGTCACAATTCCATTGTTATAAATAGGGCCAGATAGATTATTATCCTCAATGTAACTGAAGAAACTAAACTGAAGCTGAGTCACGATGCAACACTGAGAATAAGTCAATGAGAGTAAATAATTTGGTAAATCAATCAACAATAAAGTCCTCTGAACTTTATACTGTACCACCTGTTCTGTATACAAAAAAAAAAAAAAAAAAAAATAGGCCCTGTTGTTTTTTCACTCACAATCTTTCTCACAATCTTTAAAAAACAATTACATTTATGAGGGTCACATTAACCTCAATGAAAATATAATCTGTTTGACCTATAGAAGAAACACCAGCAAATTAACAATCAGGAACCTTGCTTTTAATAACTAGTACTGGTACTAACAAGTTTTATCATGTTGTAAAAAGCAGCAATCATTTTGGGCCTAAACTTTTATATACTAAACAAGTGAGTCGGTTCAGATCTCTGTGGTCACTTCTAGGCCTGATGTTCAATGCTACAGGAAAATACCTGCAAAGGAAATTCCACATCTCCATGGTCTTTAGCTTCCACCCTCAGCCACCTGAGCGATGCCATCAGGGAACAAAGGCTGCTCTTGACTTATCCACTATATATGGGATATAATTAGGCTCACTAACTGGTCTTACTCAGGTCTCCACATTTTCAAACAATTTCAAGGAAATCTATTTTATTTTAAGAAGCATGGATCTCAATTTGAAGATCCCGCCATAAACCTTTAAGTACTACAGAAAAAAAGTAATTTTTTTCCTTATCAAAGCGATTATTAGCCCTATTGAACTTTTCCAATTTTGTTTACAACTCTCCCTAGTTCTTTTTGCCTATTAGTTGAATGGAACCCTTTGCCACTCTATCCTTGAGTTTGCTTCAGACTTTTCACCCCTTTACTTTCTTCCTGCTGATACCTCTGTCTTGAGTACTCTCGGCATCTCATACTATCCAGGTTGAAAGCTTAGCTCCAGGTCTTCCGTGAAGTTTTTGTTTTCCCAGATGGCAGTGGGGAGCACACAGTTTATCCCTCTCTCCATAAACCTTCCTTTTCGCAGATCCTATTCTATACCCCAAACTTTTTATTACACATGCTCCTCCTACCTGCTAGGAAAGTTGACCTCTTTCCTGAAGCTATATGACTTTCACTGCAGCTTTCTCTTGGGTCAAACTTAGTTAATCGCAATTCACTTGGGAACATAATTCATCTTAAAAATACTCTACTTCAAAGACCCCCGTTTCTGTGACACTCAATCCATGACTCTCCTGGCTGCTGCCGTTTTCTATGTTAATATCATTTACTATGCACATTTGGTTTCCTTTTAAATTGGGTTGACTATTTTTAAGTAGTTTTTAAATTATAGTTAGCATTCAATACTCTATTACTTTCAGGTGTACAGTCTAGTGTTTAAACACTTACATAACTTAAGAAAGTGATCCCCCAATCTTGCACCCACCTGACACCATACATAGTTATTACAATACTACTGACCATAGTCCCCATGCTATGCTTGACATCTCCATGACTCTTGCAACTGCCAATTTGTACTTCTTAACCCCTTCTCCTCTTTCACCCAGTCCCTCAACCCCCCTCCCACCTAGCAACTCATCATGCTGACCGGCTGTGACAAGCTGCTGTTGTGTGTGGGCTGACATCACATGGCAGAGAGTTTGCTTTATCTGGGCTCTGATGCCTTTCCAGTCCACCCTTTGGAGTGCGTCATTTGTGGGGCTAACTGAGTGGCTCTCTGGGATGGTCTGAAGCTGGCCACGGGGTGTGTTGGTTTGGGGGCTTTCCAGGAGGGGCTCAGGTGCAGTCCCAGATCAGCTGTTGCCTGTGTCTGGACTGGGACCCCCAGGTAAGAGCTACAAAGTGATCTGCAGTTGGTCGCTGCCTGTGCTGGGCTTCGAGGCACCTGGGAGTAGTCATGCGGTGATCCGAGGCGGGCTGCCACCAGTGCCAGGCTTGGGATCACTGAGCAAAAAGGTCTGGGGCCTCCAGAGGCCAGCCGCTGCATGCCTGCGGTTTGTGGACCTTTGATAGATTTTAGGAAAGTCTGCAGCATAGGCCCAGGCTGACCACCTGTATGGATTAGCCTCTGAAAAGAGGTTCGGTCTCAATTGTGTGGGGCAGCTTTATGAACACTGGAACCATTGTAAAGGTACAGTATTTATTTCCATTTGAAAACTAAATGTGATAACATCAAGGCTAGAATCCATTCTTCAAAGAAAACCAAAAGCGACTCGGCCAAATCTTGAAAAAATGCTAATGACATCTCTCCGAGAAAACATACTGAGAGAGAATGAATGACTTTAGTATAATGCATGTGGCGTATCTAGGATTGCTTACTTTAAAAAAAGTAAACAAACAAACAAGCAACATTGGGATCTACAGAAATTTGGACCATGGATCCAGAAAGTCAAATACACCACATGACATCAGAGTATCAAGTAGAAATGTTTCATGACTGTGATAAATGCCTCTTTTTGTTAGTAATGACAACATATAGTATTTTCCTATCTCATATGTGTAGAAGGAATCATAGCATGTCTTTAAAACAGCTGGAAAGAACTTGAAGAGTAAGTAGCCTCAGTGGTCTGAGACTTAATGTTAGCCTCATATTTTGCAATTACTCATATCATTCTTTCTGAAAAAAACCAAAACTGATCATGTTAACCAGCAGCTTGATATGTCTATAACTCCTCATTATTATCAAATAGAATCCAAACTTCTTAACTTGACTTTAAAGTGTGTTGTAATCAAGTCCTAGCTTATCTTCCTTCACTCATCTAACCAATATATTCACTCAACTTTCCAGCCAAACTCATTTTAAACCCCTCCTGAGTTTGCTTCTGGGATTTTACAGACTAACTGTTGTGCATTCTGCAAATATCAGCTGAGATGTTACTTGCTCCTGCACGTCTTCCCTGACCTCAATATCTAGAATTCTTTTCTTCCTTAACCTCTGGCTATGCATTGCCTCTTTATTTGTCCCTTTAACACAATGAACTATGTGTCCATTAAGATAAAAGTCACATATGACTTGTTAAATGTTGTATTGCTGGCACATCATAGACACTCAGTAAATAATTATTACAATACTTATCTGGTTTATCTTTGTCTAGTTCACATGTGTGCCTCACAATACCAAACACAAAAGTTCATAATAGGAGTCCTTTCAATACAATTAGTAATAACAACAAATACAAAAGTAGCTACTGTTGATTGTTTACAACATGCTAGGCACTATGTCAAGCAGTTTACAAACATCATTTCACTTAGTCCTTATATGAGGGAGATGCTATTATTATCCTTCTTATACAGAAAAGGGAACTGCGGCTTAGAGAATGTACTTGGGATTTTTTTGTTTTCAGAGTCATCTCTAAAGTTGAAGTTGAAATCTAGACTCTCTGACTATACTGACTATAATCTACATTTATCAAATGTTTTCAGAGTCAATGAAACAATAACAAACAAGTGTGTCTACAACCCAGTTATGACTTGAAAATTCTAAAATGTCTTTGATTTGAATAAAGTTTTAAGTTATTTGGCTCTGGTTACCTTACAGTTCTTCTCCCAAAACGAGGTTGGAAGAAGCTTCACTGACAGATGAGTCTTCACGATTCTAGGTGATGCCATCTCTTTTAATTGTTTTACTCCTGATTTATAAAAAAATAAAGGTTAGACAACTTCAAAAATTATCAATATTTATATGAATTTTATAGATATTCTAAAAATAGAGGTAGCTTTAAGATTCTCTTTTATTAATGATAATATTATTAATATATCATACTATGACAGAATTTAGATAGAGTAAATTATAAAGAAAAATGATCAAATAAGAATTCATCACTTTGGAAAAATCATTATTAGCATTTAGGTAAACAGCTTTCTGTATAAATATATTTATATATCCAGACTCACAGCCATCAAACACCACCTACACACCTAAAATTTTTAAATATTTTCTAATAATCCTCTCCTCAATATTGCACTGATACTGCAATGTCAAGAAACATATGATATCCTTAACATTTTAATGAGTTTAGCGTCATTATATCACTTCTAAATATTCTTTTGTTGAGTAACATTTACTGTGTTTCAATTTTTTTACAATATTAAATAACTTGTAATAAATATCCTTTTGCATAGATCCTTAAAAATGTATGGATATTTTTCTGGTGTTCAAAGTATTATCACAGTTAGCCCATGGAGAAATAAATGCTCACATGTTACTGAGCTCTACTGAAGATGTGTAAGAGCTATCCTTATTCACTCTTTTCAAGACAAACACTATACCATAAACTCTGTCAAGATTTTAATTAAATTTATATGCTTTACTATGTAGAAGACATAACAGTAATTGCCACTCTTGACTACAGTCTTTTTTTTGTATCATCTACATCCACACTTTAAAATATATGTATATTACAGCTATTAAAATCAACATAGACATTACCATTCATCATCTCTTCTTTTCTGCTTTCCAGGAAAGGTATTCGATTAAAAATGGCATCTTTTTTGCACTTTTCCACATCACCCTCTTTAAATATCATGTCTACAATTTCACTCACCCAGGTCGTGCCTGTGAAAATTAAAGAAACCTGAGATTCCCACTGAACATGCTAGGCTGGTGATGCAAGTGATGAATTTATAGCTGGAGAAAGTAGCTATACTTTATTGCTAATTTATATATTATTACAATTGGATGTTACCAATGCAATAATATTGAAAGATGTCAGAATAGTCTCAGGACCCCAAAATAGCTTTGGTAAATATAGATGAATATTACAGTAAAACATACCTGTGGTAGAAGTCCCAGTTTGTCCATGATAAACTGTGACATTGTGCAAGCTGATAACAGTTTGGATCTAAATCTTTACATTTAACAGGTGAGGAAGCTTGAAAAATAGATGATACACTCAAGCATGCTTTCAAACATCAAGTTGAGTGCTTAGCTCAGTGTACATAGAAAAGAATAAGTCTGGTCCTTGCCCTATGGTGATCAAAGCCCCTTTGAAGAGTTAGATACAATAATTACAATGCTTCTTTTTTCCTTAAGATGTTATGATACCAGCAGGCACAGGGATTTAAAGGGCTGCAAAATAGGAACATTTAATTCAGTTCTTGATGTTTCAACAGGAAATGCCTTTAAGAGAACATAGTAATTGAGCTTAACCTTAACAAATTATTGGCATAAATTCCCCAGTTTTATGAGGTAGGGAAGGTTTTTTTTACCAGGCAGAAGAACTGTCTTCTTTGAAAACAAGTCAAAAGTCCAACACTTTAGAATAATATAGTGGTGAGTAAAAGAATTGGAAATAGATTGTAAAGCCTAAATCAAAGAGGCTACCTGAAGAGATGGGCAGAAATGAGGCTACAGAGACAAGCAGGCAGCAAGCATAAAATCCATCCTAGAGTTAAGTTGTTTTCTGAAAGTTTGAAAAGGCACTGGGGTACATTAAGTACGGAGCAAGGTTATCAAGGCTCTGCTTTGGAAGAACTCCTCTAGTGGCAGAATAAAGAGAACAATGGGGTGAGGGTCAATAAGAAGAGGCAAGAGACCTGGAAGAGACTGACTGTGAGACATATCTACAAGACATTATAGACAAAACATTTGACTGATTAAATATAGGAGATGAAGAAGCGAGAAGAAGTAAACCTGGAACAGCTCTCAGGCTTCCTCCTCAGTTGACTGGTTTTAGGCTGACATAGATGCTGACAAGGGAGAGAAGTGGAAGAAAAGCAGCTTTAGAGAGTGAGAGGAGCAGAGAGTCAGAGGAGCCAAATTCGTATTTAGCAGTTGACATATCTAAGTACCAAATGGAAAAACATCATAGAGAAGTACAAATTGGACCCTTCTAGTTTCTGAAGGTCTATGATTATGAGTTTGGAACTATAACAGTTGAGCTAAACTCAGAAAAAAAGATGATGGTGGAATAAGACGTTTTGAGGATGAACTAATAGAAAAGCTGATTACCTGAAAAACAGCTTTTTTATTTTTTGATCTGTGAAAATTGGTTATACTTTGTCTACACACTAATGACAATAATCATATCAAGTAAACAAAGTAGTCTTAAATTTTAGTTATGGCTCTATATTTATGCATCTATTGTACATAATTTTCTAATGGGCCAAATGTTTCATAATCTTTGACAAATTATGTTGAGTATTTATGATTCCTCCTAACTCTTTTTGAGTTTTACCTTGAAGTATTTTCAAATTTCCTGGGGGCAATTTTGCAATATAAACACTATACTCTTATTACACTTCAAAAGGGGAGTTATGAGTTATCTCCTATTCCTCACTTTTTTAAATATTTTTTTATCTTTCAATCACAGCTGGCATGCAATATTATATTAGTTTCAGGTGTACAGTCACATGATTAGGCATTTACATAACTTGTGAAGTGATCACCCCAATAAACCTAGTGCCCATCTGACACCGTATATAGTTATTGAAATATTATTGACTATATTTCTTACGGTCTACTTTACATGCCCATGACTATTCTGTAACTACCAGTTTGTACTTTTTAACCCCTTCACCTTTTTCACTCATTTGTCAAGCCCCTACCCATCTGGCAACTGTCATAATGTTCCCTCTGTGTGACTCTGTGTTTGTGCTGTTTGTTCATTTATTTTGCTTTTCAAGTTCCACGTATAAGTGAAATCATATGGCATTTTTCTTTCTCTGTCTGACTTATTTCATTCCGCCCAATGCCATCTAGATTGATCCATGTTGTTGCAGATGCCAAGATTTTTATTCTTTTTTATGGCTGGGTCACGTTCCATTGTATATATGCACCACTTTTTCTCTATCCATGGATCTATTGATGGACACAGGTTGCTGCTCTACCTTGGCTATTGTAAATAATGCTGCAATGAGTATATGGATGTATATATCTTTTCCATTTAGTGTTTTTCGTTTCTTCAGATAAATACCCAGAAGTAGAATTTCATGGGTCCTTCTTTATCTTTTGGTATAGCCTCTGTTTTAAAATCTAGTTTTGTCTGATATAATTATTAGTACACCAGCTTGCTTGTGTGTTTGTTTGTTTTCCATTTTCATGAAATATCTTTCTCCACCCCTTTACTTTTTTCCAGCTGTGAGGACTGGCCACAACCACCATAAAGGATCTGCTGGGCCAGGGCCGACCCACGGAGAAGAACTCACTTCAGCAGGGTTCCGGCACCTGCCGAGTCCATGCCCTGAGTGTGTCGCACATGGAAGTGGTCAGGTGGTGCTTCTGCTTGGTCTGAAGCTGTCCACCACATTCACTGTGTGTGCTGACTCTGGGGCTTCCCAAGAGGTCAGACCAAGGTCAGCCACTGCCTGTGTGCTGCCTGTGGCCACCAAGCATAAGCTACAAAGCAATCTGCAGGTGGCTGATGGGCTCGAAGTTTCCTGGGAGAAGCCAAGCTGCCAAGTGAAGGTGGTTGTTGCTCACGCCAGGCTTGGGACCACTTATCAAGTGTATACGAATGCAGAGACCAGATCTGCTTGTTTGAGAGTTTTTAGGAAAAGTCTAAAGCCAAGAGAAGCTTTTTGTATAGAAAAGCTGCTGGAGATGCTTGGGTGGCCCACAGGTAGGATAAGGTGGGGTGTCAGGGAATCACCAGGGCAGTGCAAGCAGTGTGAGCCAGGTTGATGTAAACTCAGACATGACGCCCACCTCCCGGCTCTTCGTGGAGAGGGCTCAGCAGAAGACCAATGGCCTCTGCCAGCACTTCTGCTTAGGAGAAAGCTACTCCTCTAGCTTTTGCCCTGTTGCCAGTTATTCTCAGTATGTCCAAGGCATCTTTTGATCTGCTGTCCCAGTGCTGGAGCGCAGAACAAGTGAGTCTGGGCTAATCTGTGCATGCGCCCTTTAAGAGGAATACCTGGAGCTCTAAAAGCCTCTGTCTCACTCATCTCCAATCTCTGCTGGTTTGTACAGACAGAAGTGGGTCTGTCATTACTAGGAGAAAAGGGAACAGCTTAGACCTAACAAGGAGACTCACCAGATTTGGGAAAGCTGGCAATGACAGTGTCATCTGGTCTCGCCTGGAATGCCTCTACATCATCCCAATATTTGACAAAATCATTATACATTGGAATTCCATGGACTCTGGTAAAGAATTCAGAATCATCACTTTTGGAAGACTCCATTGTAGAGTGGTGCACTGAAAGGAAAATAAGGCATGTTTTTGCACTTCATAACCACTTTATAATGTTTTAACTGTAATAGCAGCTCTGTATATTGAGGTTCCCTTGTCTAGCATTTTTTAGCTGTTGAGCAAATGGATTAAATTTATATTTAAGAAGTATATGACATAGTCTTGGTGATTTAAGAGCTTCTAATTTTTTTCATAAGATCAGTCTAACATAAGAAAATAATAAAATACAAGCCATTATAAAGTAAAATGTTTAAAACTATATAAAATGTGTGATACATTGGTATTATCATGTTTATATGTAATATATATATAAAATACATTCCACAATGAATGAAAACAATGGAGCCTTCAATTTCTCTGTCAAAATTGCTGGGCATATAAAAAGACTAAGAGCTTCGGAAATACAACAATATTTTGGCAAATTATCACTTGGATTAATCATGCCTACATTAAATAACAATAAAGCCAATTGTCACAATTGGTAGCTATTGCCAATTCTCAGAGTCCGAGTTTCCTTAGTTCCTGAAAATGTTTTATTTCATGAAGAAATCCAAGTGCTTGGGGAGTGTTTTTTAAACAAAGATGAAACTAGTAACACTGTAATGGCTATCTAAGGTATGATTCTTGAGGGTATAGAAGATCCCTCTGTGACCTGTGACATTACCTTCACTCTCCTGTCTCATTTAATCACTAGTATAGTAGTGGATACTCCCACTGAGTGATCTGTCTGAAAAGTATAAGGTTAAACCAGAAGGTTATCATTTGATAATTCATCTCCTGATCCCATGACAAAGTTCATGTTCAGGGTTAGTCACAGAGTTTTTAACTAAGTAAATTTTCTTTCCTTGGTTTTCAACTTCTTTCATTACCATTTTCCCCACAAATTACTGTATTTTGAGTTTTTATGTAGCATTTCAACTAATTGTAAACTTTTGTGGCATTAGTCTTTCTAGATCTCTCTTTAGTTCACTCTTGTCCCAAGAGCTGCCTGGTAGGTGGTTACATACGCATAGATTTATGACCACTATAGCTCTTACTGTGTTTGTCAGAGAATTCGTATCACAACAGGAGGCTCTTGGAGGCAGCAGTCCTTTCAGCAACCTAATATGTTTCTTTTCATTGAGAGTCCTAATCCATAAGAAAGACATTGTAAAGGGGAAATCAAATTCGCAGGCATTGTAACTAATGGATTAACCCAAAGGAAGAAATACCTAATAGCAAAATTTTAGAAAACTAAGTGTCTTGCAACTCAAACCAAAGAATTTGACCATTAACCTATACTACATGCTTTTTCTGGTACATTTCTAGCTGCACATTACAGGTGAAAACTTTCAGACGTTACCTCCTAACCCTTTCTCACCAGCATCTGACATTAAATCACACTGATGCTATCTGTTATCTTCCTGTATTTCCTATTGTTTAGGTCACTACCCTAGTTAGGTATCTTTCCAACTGTTGATTGAATACATAAAAATAGCCTTCCCATTGGCCTTCCTGTAAAAAGTTCATATATCCTCATTCTGTAACTAGCAGAGGAAGGAAAACGAATGTTATTTACTTATGTTCTACCAGACTTGAAAAGTTTTATTTTAAAATTGTATTTATAACTCATAAGGTTCTATGAAAAAACAGACATCATTATGAGGTTAGGTTTGTCCTGCACGAGACTCCTTGACGACAGAACTATATTTGCCTTACGCAAGGAAGGGTAAATATGCACACATTTATGCATAAATGTGAATGTGCATATATTATTTTTATATGATTGTTGAAAAAGTTGAACAATATAGAGAAAATGAAGGGGTTCTCTTTATTTTACTTTTTTAAAAAGGTTTTATTTATTTATTTTTAGAGAGAGGAAGGGAGGGAGAAAGAGAGAGAGAGAAACATCAATGTGTGGTTGTGCTCATGCGTACCCTACTGGGGACCTGGCCCACAACCCAGGCATGTGCCCTGACTGGGAATTGAACCAGCAACCCTTTGGTGGGCAGGCTGACGCTCAATCCACTGAGCCACACCAGCCAGGGCTTAGTCTACTCCTGAGAAATAATCACTTTTAATAGTATTGCAGTCATGCTTCTAAACATTTAAATATATGTTCAAATGTACACTTATGCGTATATTTCTATTATGTTTTACATTTATTTGTAGTCTACTTTTTCATTGAACTATATAATGTGAGCATAGTTTGGTATTGATATGTACATTCTGCTTTTGTTCTTATAAATGACACATAGTAGTCTATAGTATGGATGTTACACAGCTGATACAATTGTTTATTGGTGGAAATTCCTGTTTGTCTCAATTTTCTGAAATAAGTAGTATGTTAATGAACATCTTTCAGCGTCTATATTTTTACACTTATCTTTGCAGTGATAGTGGAAATGCCAAAATAAAAGTTATGCATGTGTAAAGTTTTGATAAATATTTTTAACAAATTAGTGAAATATTGTAGAAATTTGCACAGTATATGAAGTTTCCCATTTTCTCACGTCCTCACCGGTACTGGAAATTATTTGTTGTAATCTTTCATAATTGACTATATATTTTTAAAATTTGTATTTTATACATATTTTGTAATTTTCCTATTTTCACATTTTGTGAGTTTATTGGTTACTTTAATAATTCTGATACATTTTGTCCATCAGGACTGTTGCTTTTTCCTGATTTATACTTAGTATTTTATTATTGATTTATATATCAGAGGTACTTGATTTTTTCTACTTTTGTAAATTGTTGTATAGAATTTTATTGTTCATATAATCAAGTGTGTTAAGTTTGCCTTATGATCGGTATAGTTACCTAAGTATTTAAAAGTGCTCATATCATGATAAACACATATGTGTTAAAAGTTTATGCATTTATATTAACTTAAATGATGAATTTGTACATAGCAGAGAAAACAGTTAAGAATATAACTGTTCTTAAACAGTTATATAGTAGACCACCTTGGTTTTAATCTTAGCTCTCTTAACTGAAATTGAATCATCCTGGCAAATTGCCTGTGTTCCATTTTCTCATCTACAAATAGAGGACGTTAACACTTATACTTGCCTAAAACAACAATTGGGAGTTAAATTAAGGTGTAATCTTGGCCAGCTATAAATGCTTAATAAGCATGAGCTTTTATTGTTATTATGGCACATCTATATGACAAGGTAGAAGAACTAGACACTTGGGCCCTCTCCATATTAGTACATATCACATAGTAATATCTGTTCAAAGAAAGGAAAATACTTGTTGTCAAATAATTCCCAAGAATGTAAATATAAAATTATCTGAAAACAATCATAGTCAGTGATTTGCTTTCTATTGGAGGGGGTAAAAAGCTATAAGTGAATAATAGGAATTTTGTCCCCGTTTACTTGTCTAAAATTCTCTGGAACAACCAGCATGATATTCATTCCATTCAGGCCCCAGATTGTACAGCAGAAGAGAGACACTATGTAAGAGTTTTTCTTCTGTTTGTTTTTAACCAAATATTGGCTTAACATGTGTTTTGTAAACCACAAAACAACACTAATCATGGTCACTCCTACCAAAAGGGAAAAAAGTGCATAATGGCAAACTCACCTTTCCCAAACCTTCCTCTCAGACATATCAGATGTGGTCTCACCAAAATTATGATATTTTTATTATAACCAGCCTTGTTAATAAATCAACTTGTTCTCCCAACCTTCCCTTGCTCTCCAATAATAGAGCTTTCACTGGAAGAAATGTGTATAAAAGACTATGCTTGCCTGCCTACTAATGTGTTTATTCATGTGAACAACTTTCTTGGTGTTCTGCCAAATTGGAAAGAATTGGCTTATAGTCAGTTGGGAGTAGCTGATTTATCATTGAAGAGCTGTCTGACTTTTGGCTGCCACTTCATGATCAATTTTGGACTCAGAATTAAACTAAGTGGTATATAATAAAATCTCTTTCTTTGTTTAACTCCTTTGCTAAATTATCTGATATCACTATGTATGGACACACCCTCTAGCTAATCTGTTCTTTCTCAAACCATGTGTTTTAATTACAAGTGGTCGGTTTTATTTTAGAGCTGACTATGTAGATTACTGTTGTCTAAAAACACCAGCAAAAAACAAACAAACAAACAAAAAAAACTGTTAAAACTCTGATTCATAAATTCAATTGAATTAAGAAAGATTTTTTTCTTCCTTCTCTATTTCTCTTTTCCTGCCTCTCTCTTTCTTCCTTCCTTTTTTTGGCCTCCCCTTCTCCATCCCCCACTCTGCCTTTCCTTCAGCAATACTCTCTGTGTCAGTACCTACTTCATCCCCAGGAACAGAGTTAGGGGCTGGGATACCATGGTGAGCACATGCATAGGACTCACTTAGTGCTCACCACCTTGGACTTACCTAGATTTAGGTAAAATGGCTGAAATCAGAGAACATCCTTTGTACATAATTCTATCCCAGGCCTCAGCACTGGGTCACAAGGTAGATGCTCAAAAATATTTATTGAATTTAATTGCTTGTTCATGCCTCTCTGGGTTCTCTAGTTTTTACTAAAGACTCCTAGTTAAAATAGGAACTATCCTGGCAATGATCTACCTCTCACTACTTGACCAAGGACTTGTATTTCTGCTGCATTTATCTGATGTCTCTCACTTGACAGCAACAGTACTGTTTTTAATATCCATGGCAGTAATAGACTGTTTCTGATATATTTCATAAGCAACACAAGATTAGAAGTCAATCTTCACTGTGTTTCTACCTCGCTTGCTTTATTTCTTCATAAGTGAAATGGAGAACATATCAAGTGAGCAGGATTTACAAAGTAACTATGATACTGTCATTTATGTTCAAGCTATTAGAATAGAAAAGCACTACATAAATGCAAGATGCTGTTTTTAATAACCCACATGATTTGAAAGACTTTAAATGCTTTTACTTTACTAAGTGACTAAAGTATTGATAAAGACCTCATTCTTTCTATTTTCTTTTTTAACAGCTTTATAATAATAATAAAAATACAACCTGTCCAGATGATCCTGGGAAGGAACTGGGTGATTCAGTGTAGTTTTCCTCAAATCCCCACTCCGGTTTTAAGCTGCAAAATAAGATTAGTTGTATGCATCTGGAATGTTTCTGAGGACTTTTATTCCTAATGCCACAGAAGGAGGCGGAGATTAATTTGTGGGCTTGGCTTTCTAGAGTCTGTGATGCAATGGAGTAACACAAATATAGATCCAAATCGGAAAATGTACTCAGCCACACACAGTCATGCTCATTCACACAGAGATGTAGAATGCCTCTGCTGTAATATATCTTTTTTACAGATAGGACCTGAAACCAATACCAACATGGTTTTATTGGAATAAGAAATGTAAACAGATGTTTTCACATAATCTAAACTTATAAAAATATATGGCATTATTAAATAGTTAAAAAAGAAATCCAAAATGTGATGTGGTGGCAGACACCTCTAGCTCTAAGCTAGGTGTTGAAGTCCCCACAGCTGTGGTGTGGCTCCGCAGCTGGGGTGAGGGGACTGCCGGCAAACCGTGGTGGTGTCAAGTCCCCCAGAGGACGTCAGCCCCAAATTTTACTCTTTACAACAAAACCTAGCTTCCTCTGCTACTGTGAAGGCCAGCACAATGGATCTCACACCTGTTCCAGCAGCTCCACTTGCTTCGCCAAATCCATCACGTGTGGCTCTGCTCAGTTGCCTGGGTTATGGGGTGGCCCTGCCCACACAACACCAGTCCCTGCACACAACACGGACTTATGCTTGCCGTCACATTCATGTATTATCCTTCAACGCTTAAAACTGTAGATTACCCTACAAATGATGATAGCCCAAAATTATTTCTCACGGGGACAAAAAGAAAAAGGCAAAAGGTGGGTGGAGATGGGGAAGTATACTTTTTCCAGCCACTGGGTCATTCCTGAATAAATTCTCACAGAACCCCCTTGGTCCTCTCCCTCCCCAACCTGCCTAAAGACTGACCTTCCAGCTTTAGTTATGGGTGTGAACAAAAAGCCTATTTCAGAGATATGCACACCTATTAAAATAGGTGCACACACAGGGATGTGCTGGGACATGGTAAGGTTTCCTTCTGTGGCTGCAAAATAAGGCTACACAAAAAAATAGCAACAAGACTTATGGGTAGGCAAAAGAAAAAAGGTTATACTGAACTCCAAGGTAAGCACTTAGCATCTAACTTTTGATGAGATAGATGGACCTGCTCACGGCATCAGATTTAAAATGATGCCTGCTGACTTCAAAGGTGACTCAGGAGAGTGACTGCAGTTTGCTCCCAAATGAATGCACTTAGGAGAAACTGCAGGGATGAGATACATTTCCTAGAGAGCTCATGTCATTAAAAAAAATACATAAAACATGAATTCATAGAAGACTTTTGACAAATGCTGTCACTGTTTTAATATCTCCTTTTCCCAAATGAGGCTGGTGTGTCAGTACAGTCTCCTGACATGTCGCTGAAACTTGAGCCAGAATCTCACCCAAGGAAACCCAGACCACAGTAGAATACACAGAAAGTCAGATACTCAGAGCTTGACTGAACAGCTTAATTCAACAGTGGTCTCCTGTTAAATAAAGGTAACCGTACAACTCCAAGACTGGTCTCCCATGAATTCCAAAGGGAGAGGTCCCTCAGATCCTGAACTATGTGCACCATCTGGTTCACTGCCAGAGTGGCAGCTCCCTTTAGACTCTTGTTACTGGGGATGTTCGTTTTTGACAGACGTTTAGGCCTCTTCTTTCCATTTAGAAGGAATGACTAGAATTTGTTTTTTATCACACTAGCTCTCCTTCAAGATGTGTGTTTGGTTGGTTGGCTTTATTGGCAAGCATCTACGCCGCATTACCTGTCGCTTTCCAGTCTTCATCCGGCTGTCGTGAGACCACGGAAAGTACTGCATTATCCGCACAGGGCAGGGCGTGCTCCTTCACCACGGGGTAGAAGTACAGGTGCTCCACCACTCTTTGGCAGTCAGTCTCTGTTGATGGTCATGTGGCAGGAGTTTGCCCAGAAGATCTAGGGCTGACCAGATGTCTATTCTCACTGTGGATAAAATTTCCCCGTCGTTTCCGTGAATGTGGTCCCAGATTACCGTTGAAGTGCGGATCTAGGTCTACGTGATACTTCTTCGGATACCCATACAGCTCATCTGTACCCAGAACCTTGGCGATATGAACAAGCTGCTCGTAGTTGTCCTCTCCATGGAAGAAGGGTTCCTTTTGAAAGATCACACTCGCTAACATACAGCCCAAACGCCATTATGTTGAGGCTATAATCATACATCTGGTAGTCCCTGAGGAGCTCTGGTCCCTTGACGTTCCTGGAGGCCACGTGGACGCTGTACTCCTGAGCAGGATGGTAGAACTCTGCAAGGCCCCCAGTCTATTGGTCGCAGCTTTTTCTGTTGATGATCTATCACGACACCGTGCGGTTTCACATCCCTGTGCATGGTTCCCTTGCTGTGGCAGTAATCCAGAGCTTCAAGTAGTTCATACATATAAAACCCAATGGCAAAGTCTGCCAGGATCTGGTGAAGTTGATTAAAATCTGCATTATTGATATATTCGATTACCAAAGCTGGCGTCTTTGACAGTATCAATCAGCTTAATGATATTTGTTTCACCACGAAGGTTCTCCAGAATCTTAACCTCGTGTTTTATCTTCCTTTTCTTCACTGGCTTGAGAACTTTTACAAACACTCTCTCATTGTTAGTGATGTTAATGGCCTCAAATACGTCGCTATACTTTCCCCGGGATGTGAGCCTCATAGTCCCAGTCGTCGCAGCTCCTCAGGCTGCTCACCTCGGCGTAGACCCGGGCCCTGCTGCCCGCGGCCGGGCCGGGGATGGCGGGTGGGACCGGGGGTGCCGCGGGGCGCCGGGCGGAGAAGGTGGCGGGCTGCGGAGCGCCGGAAGAGGACGAAGAGCGAGGCAGAGGGCGGCCACGCCAGGACGGGCCCGGGGGCGCGGTCGGGCTGGGGGGCGGAGGAGGGCCGGCCGCGCCGGCTCCCGACCCCGGAGCCGCCGCCGGCGCGGCTGGACGGGCGGCGCTCGCGCTCTGCGGCGGCCTTCAGCTCGGCTCGCTGCCACGAGGGGGCAGTGGCGGCGGCGAAGGAGCTGGGGGTTTTCTTTCTTAGCTCCTGGCTCTTGATCAAATACCTAGATTTGCCAAAGGCAATGAACCAGTGGGTTGGGGAGAGGGAGGAAGAGGAAGTGAAGGGGAAGATGAGCGAGAAGATTGCATCAAAATAAACGACAGCTCAGGAAGAAAAAAACCTTACTAACTGATGAAGAATACAATGGTTAAGGTTGACCTTCAACCTTACAAACTTGCTGGAGGAGTGAAGGAGGAAAAGAATGACAGCGAAGAAGCAGGAGGGCAGTGAGGGCCTTAGATCAGGAGACCTAGGTCAATTTACTAAGACCTGTCATAGAAGGCTTTATAATACTTGGTTGTGTGGTAACAATTGCGAAATATCTTCTATTCAAAATGTTTGCCTGTAGCTCTTAAGGAGCCATGAAAATCAAAACCAATGACAGCTACAGAAAACATATAAACATCACTCATCTTTAGGTTATTATTTTAAAAACCTCACTTCTCTCTGCTCCAAAATACCGGCTGACTGCAAGGCTTTGTATGGAATTTCCTGATAAAGTTATCCATTTCGCATCATTAGAGTTTATATGAAAAGATGAGAAAATTTAAATGCCAAGTGTTTGTGGAATCTGTGAATTCTACACATATCTTTTCCTATCTCTGCACCTACTCTGTCTCTAGCTGAGAAAACTCTCCCTTGCTACCATGCCTCCATCCCCATCAAAACCTACAACTAAGTTCCAAACCTGATTAGTTCTCCTTTGTCTCTCAACTTTTCATAAGACTGCACATCCTTTGAAAGGCCTTTGGTGGCTCTTATAAGACTGAGAATTCTGTTGAATGACCTTGAAATCCTGTACTTGCTGTTAATGAGCCCTATTCTGCTGTGCCGAAGTTAAAAATTTACTTCCACACCTTCTTTATGAAGGGATTTGAAGAAAGCTTATTAGGCTATAGAAAGCTTACTAACAGAGTCTTACTCTGTATTTAGCACACTTCACGGCATCTGCAGTCTAAGGATTGAAAATACAGAGTCTGGCACAAATAACACCCCTTTTTATCGTATAAAAATCTTTTATTACAAGATCATAAACATGTAATCCTGCGACATAACAATATCACACTCACACATTATATGACATTTCAAGTGAAATGTTCAAATTGCTGTCCATCTCGAGTCGGACATTCACATACCCTACCAACCACCCGCAATGGCGTTACCCTTGCCGCACCCTGTATACCAATGAAAGGAAAGTGGCTGAAGTGTTCGGGAAAGAAAAGAAATTAAGAAAACCATAACTGTTAGTTATCGAAGGCGTTACTCTCCAGCCCTACCCAAAGTAAAAGAACAGTTAAGTGGTTCCTGAGAAATAGGGCATTTCATGATAAAAGTGAAGGTGGAGCATGAGAACCCAGGAGCTCAAGTTTACACTTTATTTTATTTGGTTTTATGCAGCTGGTCATTGTAATTTTATATCTATGTGTGTTAAATAAAATGTATTAAAAACATTTAACCTGCAAATATGCAAATTTCATATGGACTATATTTTTTGACCTACATAGCTTATTTTTAAAAAATTATGGATCTTTAATTATGAGGATCTGTGAGGCTTTCTTTCTTGTTTACCAAAAATGTTCTTTCATCCAAAATGTCAGGATGTGATCACAAGCGAATTGGAACAGGTTTAACCTTCTGACCTTTTTCCTTATCTTTCAGTTAGGAGCACTTGGCTGAGAGGATATGCCAGGTGCTTTAAATCACGTGACGCGACAACCACCAACGGCCACAAAACCTTTATCCTTAGAAAATCTTCTAAGTAATTAGGATTCACTTGCTAATAAAAATAAAACAATAGGAAAAATAGACAGCTTAACCTTCATTCTTCTCCATGAGCAGTGAGTACAAAAGAAATTACGAAATGTTTGTGTTCTTCGTCTGACCTTTCCCCTTAGTACCCTCAATGCAGGGGAAA